GATCTAATGTATAATATTCAGATCCGAATATTTAGGACCAATTGGATACGGATCCGGATCTAGATCTAGATCCAATATATACTATTTGGATCCAAATCCAGATCCAGATCCAGATCCATTCAAACCCAGATCCAGACCCGATCCGACCTGTTCTCACCCGGACAAAAAATGCTCTCATTTTCAAAAAATTTACTCGTCGCTTTTTTGGTTCCTTTCTTTTTTGCTTAATTATGGTGTTTAACCTATTCAATAATTATACTCTTTCATGACCCATGGTTTTGATCTAGACTTGGCGGTGGCATGGACCCAGATCCGACCTGGGACCTGAGGGGTAGACCCAATCCGGGTTCGGGTATGGGTCCAAAAATTGAACCCGGTGGGTTGGATCTAGGTCCGGTAATATTTTTTGGGTCCCAATTTATGAAATATATTTAAATATAGTTAAATACATAGATCTTTTGATTTTTGCGGTCCAAGTCGGGTTTGTCGTGTCATCTGGTTTGTCGTGTCATGGCCCGTGTCTTATAGGACCGGGACTGGACCCAACCCATTGCCAACCCTATCTAGACCATGAATCTGTGACATACAAAATAACAAAGAAGGTAAAGATAAAAGAAAAATAGAAAACTCATAGAAGGGGTAATTTTGGGGTTCCTCAAACTAGGAGCCAATGTTCAATTGAATGACTCTAGGTGAGTACTCGACCGAGGCATGAGCCGAATACTCGCCCCGAGTATTGTTCAAGCCAAAAAATGTTAAAAAACTAAAAACATCCAAAAATTAAGAAATACATGTTTGAAGTAAAATTAAAACACATCTAGATGAGGTTAAAAAAATAGTAAAAACCAAAAATTTGAAAAAATCAATTTGTGACTTAAGTGTTTTCGAAATAATCCAAAAAGAAGTGAAAATATAAAAAGCAAGTAATCATAATCATTTGTCAAAATGATAGAAACATAAAAAAAAAAAAAACAAAAACTTATTAAAAATTGATTTCTTATTTTTTTGAATTTTTGAATTTCTTTTAAGATCCCGGAGTTGAACACTCAACTCAAGGATACTCGAGCAGGCGAGAGCGGAACTCGCCCGATTAATCGATTCAAACTTGGCCAAGTAGTCGAACACGGGTGGGAACCTCTTCCCAATCCAACTTAGGCAGTTCCGAAAACAACAAAGCACCATCTCTCTTAATGTCCTTACCACTGACAACTGCAAACGTGTGTGGTTTTGCATGTGAAACAGTCATATTTGCCACCGGTGACCCCAGCAGGGTTGAAGAAGCTGAGAGAGAAAGAGCTCGAGACGCTGAGGGGGAATGGGCAGGGGGAGAGAAAGGATTTTGAGAGGATTTATGACTATGACAAATACAACGATCTTGGCAACCCTGATGATGCAGACACTGCAAGGCCTGTCCTTGGTGGCAAAGATCATCCATATCCTAGGCGTTGTAGGACAGGGCGCCCTATGACCCGCACAGGTATTTTACAAAATCTCCCCCAATTATGTTATAAATTTCAACCACTTAAATACTTTTGAAACTTTTCAAAAGTATTTCTGTTAATTTATTGTTTATGAATTATTTTTTTTAATATTTTTATGAGGTGCGTATTCATGAGAAGTATGGACGTCTAGAATTTCATGTGATTTGGATTTGTAGAAACAAAATTAAAATTATATTACGAAATGAGGTTGTGGCCGTCAGATGGACCCAGATTCAATCTAGATCATTGGGGTAACAACAATTTTTTTTCATAAATTTTTTAATAATAATTAAAGGAAAACACTACAAATGACTATAGGTGAAGTTCTACAGTACTTCACATACGGTTTTATCACCGTTCAAAGTTTATCACACTGTCACATATGTTGGATAGTGTTTGAATTTTTTTTTTTTACAAATCATAATGATATGAAATTTTGTAGCTGTGTGCGCTTTAGTGAGATGCACAAGAATAAAAAATATATATAAAAATTTGAACAATAAAAATTATGCAAAATACCCCTATAAAGTATCAAGGGTAATTTCATCATTTTATTTTATAACTATTATTTTTTAAATATTTTATTTTGGTGAGACTTGGTCATATGTACACACGTCCTAAATTTTAGGCAAATCTAATTAGTAAAATAATTATTAAAATTCAAATACTATTGGACAACTGTGATCGTGTGATGAACTTTGGACGGAGATGAGGTATAGGTGAAATACTATAGAACTTCACCTATATGTGTTTTGTAGATGCTTCCAAAATAAAATATTTGTTTTGATTTAAAATTTATCACTAAACTTATTTTCTTCTAATACTTCAATAGAAGCATCGTGCAATGCATGTGCCCTTAGTGCTGGCCATGGGCCTGGCTACTCGGTCCAACCAGGCCTTAGAAACACACATAGACAGAATTAAAATATCTATTTTTAGTTAAAATTTAAAAGTAACCTTATGTTTTTCCAAATATCTCAATAGGAGTATTGTGCAATACAAGTGCCACTAGGCTGGCAATCGGCAAAGCGACTTGGTCTGCCCTAGAAAACTAGGGCTTTGGCCTCCAAATGTGGAAATGAGGGCCAAGCCATGACAAGGCCTGCCCATATCGACTCGACCCATGTTTTATCCTTTTATTTTTTCCTTTCTTCCTTGGGTTTCTTGGAACCTGGCACCGGCCCTATGGGGACTAGGAGCGGGCCAGGCCTAGAGCAGGCCCAGCGCTTTTTTCAGCCCTAAGTTCAATTGTGAATGTAACATATAGCAATTTCATTGGTTCGGTGCATACATGGAATGGCAAGCAAAGCGAGATCAAATTCAACTAAAATCTGTACATCCATTTGATTTTTAAATTATCCAAAAATACAATGTGTATACCTCTGAATTCCCATTGAGAGCATATGTGCATGTGATAAATGTACGTTTTTTTTCCATGGAAAACCAAATGTCATGTATCATGACACCACGTACTTGTGGCCACCATGGTCATCAGGGCCGACGGTGATGGAGAGATTGGACCCATCGTCAAAGTCATTCCAAGTTCTCGTCCTATGGCATCATTAGGGCTGAGAACGGAATGGATCAAGTCCGGATCCATCGTGATTTGGTTCCAGATCCAATCAGATCTGGACCTGGTCAAATCCAAGATATTTGGATCTGGATCCAAAAAAAAAAGTGTACATCTGATTCGGATCTGGATCCAGATCCAATCAGGTCCAAAAAAATTATTATATATAGTATTTCATATCTATAAATAACATATTAACAAACAAATATTCTATTTCATATCGATAAAATAACATATAACAAACAAATATTATATGGCATATAGGTATATATAAAATACTATATAATATTTTAATAACCGGGTCAGATCCAAACCGGATCTTCATGTACTTGGATCAGATCTGAATTACTATTTGGATCTAGATTTGATATGTTAGATCCAATCCATAACCAGATCCGAATAGGATCCGAAATTCAGGTTTCATATCCAAAATAGGTAAATTCTCAGCCCTAGTCATCATTTATTGAGCGTAGAATGATGACTTCTATGACCACATGTTCTAACTGGTCATGATGATCACATATGCCTTCCCTTATAGCCTACTCACTTGTCCTTCTCTTTCTTTTAGTTGGTAAGTAAGGTTGCATTCAAGCCTCAACCTCAAGGACACAATCATGAACATCTTGAAGTTTAGAAAAGCTATGATATTCGAATTAGACATGCCGAATTTAGACGTACATGATGAAAACGCATACAGAACTGCGCATATATAAACATGTATTAGAATCTCTATACACATACATATATACATGCAGGCATTGCAGTCATACATACATACATAAATGACATTTCTTGCTAATGGCACTTGCAGATCCTCTGTCAGAAAGTCGACTTAAGATTTTAGTGGATTCACCTTATGTCCCGAGGGATGAAGCATTCTCGGAATTGAAACAGGCACAATTCGGATTGAAGACCTTGAAATCGGTCCTACACGCGCTCATCCCTGGTGTCGAGGCTTTTGTAGAAGACAAAAACATGGGCTTCGACTTCTTCACTGATATCGATCTCCTCTTCAAGCATGGAGTTAAATTCCATAAGACAGATGGGGAAGGTAGCGTACTGAACTCTTTGCTCCTTCCGAGGCTTGTGAAGAAGGCTGTGGATGGAGGAAGCGATGTCCTGCAATTCGAGATGCCATCCATTATGGATCGTAAGTCTATAGTCCATACCCATCTTGAGAAGAAGATTTTAAGCTTCTTCTCAAGATTTTTAAGTCTTTATAGTAGATTTTAAGCTTAGTGTCAATTTTGCTAGCTTTAGTTTTTAGGGGGTTTTATAAGGGATTTAGTATAAATATGGAGCATGTATACTGTACTGTACTTCTAATGAATCATGATGCGCTTACTCCCTCGAGCAAAAACACCCTCTTAAGAGGATTTTCTTGATTCCAACTTTTTAATCAGTAGTTTGAAATGTGATGTAGGAAAGATTATCCATATTTTCCCCAAAACAGCGGAAAAAAGATGAAAAAGGGGGGAAAATGATACATTATTTTTTCAACAAAATCACCCATTTTTGAAAAATAGTTGCTCCTTAATTTAGGTAAAAATTCGTCAGACTTCTCAAAAACAAATTTCGTGATTCATAGCAAGTCTGGTTCACCCATTCAAGCCATTTTAGAGTTGTGACCAACCATGTCTGATCCGGATTGCCAACTTTTTATTCATTTGCCTGTTTTAGATATTCCAGTAAATAGAAACCGTATTCTGGAAATGCAGTATAAGCTTAGCAAGTGAGCAAGCATAATTCTTCCCCTTTCTCATGGAATCTAGAACGTGTTTCATTTTTCTTGTGAAATTTAGCATAATTTAAGTTTTGTTGATAGAGGCTTTATAATTATAGGGGACAAGTTTTCTTGGATGCGAGATGAGGAATTTGCACGTCAAACGATTGCTGGCATCAACCCGTATTGCATTGAATTGGTTAAGGTGAGAACTCATATTTAAAATTTCTCATTTTAAATTGAAATTGTTGTCTAAATTACCAAAAAATACATAGTTTTTTTCTAAATTCTAAATTTTTGATATCATTTAATTTTATTCGGAATTATTGCATAACTTCTATAAAAAAAACATGGGTCAGTTGGCTATGGGGTAAAATAATAAAAAAAAAGGACAAAGGAAGGTTTTATCCAAATTCCAGGTTTTCAAAAACCCAATTTTTGGCAGCAGGGTTTCCTTGAGCTTATTTTGAAGTTTCACTTGAGTCCCAAAAAAGTGACAAACACAATGTTATCGAGTGCTATCTGGATCGGATAAGCTACCGAACTGTCAAATTATTTGGTCAAGTGGTCGAAACCAGTTAAACATTGTTTTTAATTGATTTTCAATCAAATTCAATTTTTGTTTTGGTTTAAGAAACCATTCTGCAATTTGGTCCGGCAGATTAGCCGGTTTGGTTCGGTCTTAATAACAACGGATAAACGTCCTTGGATATATGAAACTAGGTTGTATAAAAGCAAGTTTCAACCGGGCCCGTCTTTGTTTACTTTGTTGAATGCATTTTGCCTTTGCGTAAGGCTAGGCACCCATAGTTACATTGTTGGGGCACTTGTATGGAATATTTAGCTCTCTTAAGCATGCTAGAATAATATATCCGTTTCATATACACTCTTCTTCCTCCTGGGCTAGGAAAAGGGCTGGGACATGGTGGTAGCACCCCCACACCATACTCATTACATTATAATTTTTATTCCCACTAACACCACCCTACAAATATCTTTTTTTTTTTAAAAAAAAATAGAAATAATAATAAAAAAATAAAAATATCCTAGGTGTTTGAAGCCCATACAAAAGTTTGCAATTTTTTTTTTTTTAAAGTGTTTCAAAAAGACCATATACTTTTGGTAAAATAAATCACAATCACCTATTAGATGCGAAATCCTCTTGGGGTTGCTCAAAGTAAATTTCTAGAACTTCGAAACACGTCCCAAGTTTTTGGATTTTATAACTGATGGCCAACATTGATTGTGACCTTCTTGTTACATATATAATTGGTCTTGTAGTATACATTCCCTTTAGACAATCATTCTTACAGTTAAATGTATGCTAAGTTTTGTGACTATGACAAAAAATGAAAAGAACAAGGGAATATTTCTAAGTACCAAAAAAATGCCCATATTTATTGACTATATTGGTTCAGGAATTTCCCTTTGTGAGCACATTGGATCCGAAGATCTACGGCCCAACTGAATCTGCAATAACGAAGGAAATCATTGAACGAGAAATCAAAGGAGTCATGACAGTTGAAGAGGTAAATAGTAGTATGTACTGCATATTCAATTAATAATATGAATTAATGCAAAATAGGATGCATATAACGGGCTTTTCCTAAGTAATATTTCGGAAATTAAAATCTGGGAAATGATTCATAAGATCATGCCCTACAAGATACTTATAGGAGCTCAATGTCTATGGTCGATCCCTTTCTATGTGACGTATCTGCCATCATACATCAAAAGGACCTTCGGATCATCTTCACTCTCAGTGGCAGGGATCTGATGGTGGAGATTGAGATCCTATATAAATCCTGTAGGAAACGGTCCTACAGGGTGATTTCGACCCCTAAATTGAAACTGTTCAATGTTGATGCTTGAGACTTTAAGGGTGTGGTTTAGTTAGCTTTCCATTCGAAGGATTATCTCTAAGTACATGCTTGCACGTGTCGGTTTCCAGGCGGTGGCGCAGAAGAAGCTGTTTGTTCTAGACTACCACGACATACTCATGCCTTACGTGAACAAGGTGCGGGCATTAGAGGGGACAACCCTCTATGCGTCCCGGACCGTCTTCTTCCTCACCCACTTAGGCACCCTACAACCGGTGGCCATTGAGCTTGTAAGGCCACGCTCTGAGACTGAGGATGCTTGGCGTAAGGTATTTACACAGGGAATTGATCACACGACCGCGTGGCTGTGGAAGTTGGCCAAGTGCCATGTTGCTGCACATGACTCTGGCATGCACCAGCTAGTTTCACACTGGTAGGCAATTACTTGAATTTCATGGATTCCGATCATATTTCTGGAGTTTATTTAGAAAGCATGTTGTGGTCCATACAACCATTAAAAAGCTACAGTTACCTAACTCCATCCAATCAATTGATAGACAGTGACGAAGAGCGGGTTCCATGAGAACACGATGGGGCCTACTGATAGGTCCCATTCTCTCAACATCACCACCTATCAATTGAATGTGTGGTGAAAACACTTAGAAGCACGATTTTCCTCATGAACTAGCAAGAGGCACATGGCATTGAATGTTTTTAAAATGTAAATTTTATTCCAAAAATTCCCTAAAATTGAAGATTATGGATTAATTTTCAGTATAAGTTAATAATTATAGAAATGGGATAAATATTTATTATAGGGAGAGCTATTATAGGGGGAGCTACTTTTACAATTGGATTTCTTGTTATATATTTTTAACTAAGCTACCAACGGAATGCTTATTATTGGATGAAATAGAGATTGAGTTGGATTAAAGAGTAGGTTAAACTCCTCCTCTGCAGAGCCCCAACTAACCTACCCTAAAGTCTCTGTTTCTACAGGGACCTAGGCCATCTGTCCCTACCCTTAATAAAGGCTTAATAAATGTAGAACATATAGTCACTTGTTTAATTCGCTTGTTAGTTTTATATTTGTTTACAATGTGACTTATCATTAATTTAAACCGGTAGGATTTTTATTTTACTGTGTCTTTGTGAACCTTGACTCTCAAACTTGTTAACAAACTCCTTGCTTTGAGTTATTTTTCAGAAGTTTACCATTTTAGTAAATAAACAAGTGGGTGTGTGTGGAGGTTCAGATGGGTCACGCTGAACTCCTCCCGGTTTGGTCCTTTTTAGATGCAGACTAGGACCTAAACCTGGTCTAATTCATGTCAGATGACCCCAGATCAGAGTTGTTGAGTCCAACAGGCAGGTCTAGATCCAAACCTATGTCTGGTACTCTGGTCATTTATCACCCTGACCTAAACTTCTATATGGAAACGATATATACATGTACTACTTGTGTGTGTTGAATGTGCATTCAAATTTTTTTTGTATGTTCAGAAAAGCCCTTTTTGCAGGGGTCAAAAAGACCAATTTGCCTTTTTCTGTTCTAAGTGGACCAAAATGCTCCTAATCTTTTGTAGGTTGAGGACACACTGTTGCACCGAGCCATACGTGATCGCGGCTAACCGTCAACTGAGTGCCATGCACCCAATATATAGGCTGCTGCAACCCCACTTCCGATACACAATGGAGATCAATGCCCTGGCTCGGCAGAGCCTGATCAACGCAGATGGGATCATTGAGTCGTGCTTCTCGCCAATGAAGTACTCCATCGAACTTAGCTCTTATGCTTATGATTTGACCTGGCGTTTCGACAAGGAGGCCTTGCCTGCAGATCTCATCAAAAGGTAACATGGATGGGGTAAAACAAGCAAACATTCGAAGTGGGAATAGGGGGTGTATTATCCTAATATGTTTTCCATTCGAGTGACTATCTATTAAACTTCACTGAGACTGGCTTTTCAGCCATCTATCCAACCTTTGTTAAATACTCACCAATGAGTTTTCGTAGGTGTTGTATTTCTACCTGTAAGTTAATTTAAAAAGAAATATTAAACATTGAACACAAGGTTGTGGCTTATCCACATTGCATAGTGGAGATCAATCAGCTGTCTGCTAAGGCTCATCTCCACCATCTATTTAAGGGAACGGACCGTGAATGTCTCCTTGTTTTATACCATACTTTCCCTCATAGAATTTGTGAATTATGGTCTCTATGTATGCCTTTCTAATGTAAGTTTGAGCAAAACAGTCATGTCGCTTTTATTTTTCTTATACAGGGGTTTGGCTGAGGAGGATCCGACTGCGGAGCATGGCGTAAAGCTTGTGATTGAGGACTACCCTTTTGCCAACGACGGCCTCCTTATATGGTCTGCGATAAAGCAATGGGTCACAGACTATGTCTCCTACTACTACTCTAACCCTGGCTCAGTGCAATCCGACACTGAGCTCCAGGCTTTTTGGGAAGAAGTGAGAACCAAGGGCCATGAAGACAAGAAAGATGAGCCCTGGTGGCCAGTATTGAAAACCAACGATGACCTCATTCAAGTTCTAAGCACCATAGTTTGGGTGGTTTCTGGCCACCATGCGGCCGTAAATTTCGGTCAGTATCCTTACGGGGGCTACTTCCCGAACCGCCCAACTATTACTAGGAACAATTTGCCAGTAGAGAATGAGAGTTGCGCTGAGTTCAAGAGATTCCTCGAGAAACCAGAAACAACATTGTTGTCAAGTTTTCCATCTCAACTCCAAGCAACAAAGGTGATGACTATACTAGATGTGTTATCCTCTCACTCTCCAGAGGAGGAGTATCTGGGAGGTCAGGTGGAGCCTGAATGGGCCTTAGTGCCAGAAATTAGGGCAGCTTTTGAGAAGTTTAGTGGTAGGATGAAGGAGATAGAGGGTATCATAGACCAGAGGAACACTGATCTTGAATTGAGGAACCGGACAGGTGCAGGCGTGGTGCCATATGAGCTCTTGAAGCCCTTCTCTGAGCCTGGAGTCACTGGAAAGGGTGTTCCAACTAGCATTTCCATATAGAGATTGAGCTTTTCGTCATTGAGGTTCAGTTTCTTTCGGTTCGAACCTTTTTAGCCTAGTGATATATGGTACTCGAAAGGGAGAAGGAATAAGGAAGAGGAAAATAAATAATAAGAAAATCTAACCAAGGGCTATAATCCTTTTCAACTGTACTCTCTATGGTTGGTGTCTGTTTGCAGTTTGTACTTAGAGTTTCTAGCTAATGAATATGCACTTTACTTGTTACATTGAATCTCTTTTTCTATTGATTTGGGAATAGAGCTTGAGGGATATTGAATTTAAAGAAAGAGAAATGGGCGGGTTAGCTATACCAATTTTTGATCACCTACTCATTGTACCTAACAATGAAAATAAAGGTAAAGATAAATAGTGCAAAAAATTAAAAGAAGTAAAAAAACAATATTCATGTGGTACCACACTGCCTACACTGTGGGGCCGCAATCCTGCTTTTCTATTAATTAGAAAATCAGTGCAAGCATGGAAGATACAAAAGTTTATAACCCTATTTTACAAGGCCCGAAACAAGATTCTTCTCTCTAGAATAATTACGAAGAGAGCTCACCATTTCTCCCTTTTCATTGCACATAATTTGTCTCCGACTAAACATCTTTCTGTAAAGAGAAGCACCTAGGGAGATACCCATGTAACACCCCTCTCCTAATAGTCTTAGGTTTCTTAAATCTGTGGGACTAATATGTGGGTATTACATCCCCACATGGTAGGAATTCTAACAAGAATACAAAACCTTCCATTAAATTATGAGATTTTAACTAATCCCCCAAATAATAGAAAACCCATGAAACATGGGCTTCACGGTATTAACATCTCCCATTTGAAGATGTATTTCGATTATAAATAATTAGTTCTAAAAGCTACCCGTCAGTTACTAATTATCAAGAAACCATAAACCTCAAGGAAGTCTTATACCAAGTGAACTTCCCCTATGAGCTTAGATTATCATTGGTTTGAATTTTATGCAATACTTTCACCTTCAACTACGTCATGAACAAAATGATACTGAACATCGATATGCTTAGTTTTATCATGGAGGGCTGGATTCCTTACTAAAAACAAGACACTCTGGTTATCACAATAAAGTGGTTTTCATTCTTGCGCAATTCAAAACTCACTAAATAACCTGTTTAGCCAAATTGCTTTTTTAGATGAATGAGTAAGTGACATATACTCGGTATTTGTAGAAGACAAAACCACTACAAACTGCAACTTCGATAACTAACTAACTGCACCACCTCCCTAAAACATACATAGTAGTAGACCTTTGTTTTATCCAAGTCCCTTGCAAAATTTGCATCAACATAATTGACGTCTTTTGAATTTATTTCACTATAGTAAATACCATAATCATAAGTTCCTTGCAAATAACAAAGGATCGATTTCATAGTAGTCAAGTTATCGTAACTAGGGTTAGCCAAGTATTTGCTGACAACCAACATTGTCATGATCACTTCGGAGTCTGCTTTGGTCTGGTCTAAAAAACGAAACAATTCGTTGCTTCGACTAATTCGGGGGAAGACTTCGAGGTTTTTTTCTATCTTTTAATTTTAAAATAGAAATTTTTATAATTTTATAATTTTTTTTTAAAAAAATATAATTAGAAATAAAGTTTTTACAAATGAAAAATATAAATATATAATATAAACTGACATTGAAATGACAGACAACATCCGATGACTTAATGTCGGTTGGCCTTTCGGGGAAACCTCACCGAAATATTCAAACTGTCATTCAATATATCATCCGAGTCCCAATATATTGTCTTAGTCCCAACTTATATCCCTCTAAACTTCATTAAGTTCGTATAAAGAATAAAAAACCAATCCGTGCACCATTGAAATTGTCTGTATCAGTACAAAGTCCAATCCTTATCATTATAACTAAAGCTTTTACCTTTTCAGTTAACACATATCAACATTATATGTCTCTTCTGCCGCAATACACAGATTTCAGTATAAAATGTTAAATTTTGGAGTCAAGGCATTTAATTATTCGCTTCTCTTTGATTGAGTGAGTAAAACCAAAGGCTTCGGCCCTATCGGCCAAAGCGAACCTAATTTAACAACAGAGCTCACAACTCTTACTGCTTGTGCCATGTTAGATCTGGTGCTAACCATAGCAAGCTTGAGGCTCGCTACTATTGACGAATACAATACTAGATATATCTATGTCTTATTTGTTACAATACTACGACATTATTTTGAAGACAACTTCATATGTGAAGGAAATGGTGTGCTAATTGGTTGACTAAAGTGCCACAGAACCCTCGCCACATAATTCTTTTGAGGTAACTAGATTTTCTTGTTGTTCCTGTCCTTAAGTACACTCATCCCAGTAATTTGATTAATGGCTCTCAAATCTTTCATATCAAATATTCTCCTTATTTGATCCTACAACAATCATGTCATCAACATACAATAACTAGATAATAAAATTGCCATTGGCATAACCATGAAAGTAACGTTAAAAATAAGTACAATAGTCAACTTCACATCTACAAAAATTCAAGAGCAACATGAAAGAATCAAATTGTTTGTACCATTACCTCGATGGTTATTTTAACCCTTGAGCCTACGAACCAAATTTTCTTCACCTTCCGCAATAAAACTCTTTGGTTGGGTCATAAAAATTGCTTCTTTCAAGACACTACATAAAAAAACAATTTTCACATCTAATTGTTCTAACTCTTAGTCAAGATTAACAGTTATAGCCAAAATAACTCTAATAATGGTCATGCACACAATATGAGATAAAATTTCATTAAAGTCAACCTCGACTTTTGAGTATAACCTTTCATAGACAATTGAGCTCTGTACCTTTCAACAACATTATTGAGATCTTTTTTCTTCTTAAAGACCCACCTATAACCAATTGCTTTTTGCCCCTCTTTGGATTCGATGAGGTTTATGTTTTATTTTTTCACAAGGCCTTCAACTCCTCTCCCATGAATGCTCTCTATTGACCTGCTTCATCGACCCTCCCCCATGCCTTACAATAAGAAATTGACTCACTGTCCTCTACGAGGAAAGCATAGGACAAGAATAATCATTAAGCCTTTTAGGAGCCTTTCTAGGTTTTACAAATCTTCTCAATTCAACACCACGTAAATATTCATTAAGCTCTTGGAATATTTCCGGCTCTTGGCCTTGAACACCATTTAACTGGTTCTCATGGGTCTAACAATAATCTTGTAGTCAATAGGATCCAACAATCAGTACTCCTTCGTACCATTTACATAGCCAAGAATAATACATTTTTTGGATTTTGCATCCAACATAGTTCTATTCTCCTTTAGAATCAAAGAGTATGTATCACATCGAAAAACGTGGAGGAAAAAATAATTAACAAGTTTACCAATCTAAACCTCATCTAGTGACTTGTTGTCCAAAGCAACAGTGCGAGACTCAAATTGTGGTGGAGGGCGATTCAATGAATGTTATTAGATGTGGTGGCCATGAGACAATTGATCCTTGGGCATGTAAACTATTATGGAAGGAGATTATGGATATGTGTAATCATCATCATAGCCTTTTTCTAATTAATTGAGGTCGGCTATATGAATTCATTCTGATCTATTAAAGATCATACCCTTAGTGAGGCCATAAGTCCCCACATCTTTTCGGATTACTTCCAACCACGTTCTTTTAATCCTACCCCTTGCCATTTCCAGTCCTTCCACTTGAAGATTACGGATATGTGTGGGATAATAAAAAAAATCCAACAATCCTAGTTTTTTGAAAGGACACAGTAAAAATATTGCTCTTTCCTTTTTGAGAGAATGTAGCAAGATGGAAAAGTAAATATTGCATGTAGCAAGATAAAAAACTATATATTGTACAATTGTATTACCATAGTGATTTATATACAGGCCCTAAAATGTTTTCTAAATACAAAATGCTCAGTTTATAGGTAGAAATTACAAAGAAGGTTGGTCAACTTGCTTATCTTTTTTTCCAAAATTGGCCCTTGATCGGAGGATGAAATCTTTGGTCCGAATTTTATTTTATTTTTTAGTTTTTTCATTAGTAAGGCAGTGGCCCAAGTTTTCGGGTAGTGCCCTACTAACAAAAAAAATTAAAATTTAGTCTGGGGATGTCTACGGATTGAGGGACAATT